GTGTGTGTGTGTGTAACTCACTGACCCGGGGGGTGGGGGGAGGGGGTTACGGGTAACAGTTTGCTGTGGGCATTTGGGGACAACTACATGCTAGGGGGTTTAGTGAGTAACTTGCTGCCAGATGGATCGGGGTATTTAACTGATGGAGGGGTGTGTGGGGGATAACTGCCTGCCCAAGGAGGTCGGGGGTAACTCATTGCCCAAAGGGGTGGGTTCAGGGGCAATTCAGTGCCTTGGGGAAGGGAGGAGTTAAGGTATTAACTCCTTGGGGTCAGGCGCTAACTCACTCCCTGCACAGGGTTGGGTGTGGGTTTGATTACTCATTGCGGGGGGGTGTCAGCAGGTACTTCACTCCCCAGGGAGGTTAAGGGGGTAACTCACTGCCCAAGTGGGGGGGATTCAGGAGGTAATTCACTGCCTGGAGGCTGTGGGTAACACCACACCTGGAAGGTTGGGAGGTAATTTATCACCCAAGGGGCAGGGTGAATGAAGCTGTCCTCCCTCATACTCCATTTCTGAGTTTCTGAGGAGCAGGCATGAATTTCACACTTGGAATATTGTGTTCAGTTCTGGTCGCCTCATTATATGAAGGATCTAGAAGCTTTAGAGAGGGTGCAGAGGAGATTTACCAAGATGCTGCCTGGACTGGAGGGCAGGCCTTAAGATGAAAAGTTGAGGGAGCTAGGGCTTTTCTCATTGGAGCGAAGAAGGATGAAAGGTGACTTGATAGAGGTGTACAAGATGATGAGAGGCATAGATAGAGTGGATAGCCACAGACTTTTTCCCAGGGCGGAAATGACTGTTACGAGGGGGCATAATTTTAAGGTGATTGGAGGAAGATGTCAGAGGTAGGTTCTTCACACAGAGAGTGGTGGATGTATGGAATGCACTGCCGGTGGTGGTAGTGGAGTCAGATACATTAGAGACATTTAAGTGACTCTTGATAGGCACATGGATGATAGTAAAATGTAGGGTATGCAGGGTAGTTTGATCTTAGAATAGGATAATAGGTCGGCACAACATAGTGGGCCGAAGGGCCTGTACTGAGCTGTCCTGTTCTATTTTCTATATTGTTCTATGTTTCTTTTAATTGGTTCTGTGGGAGATAGCCAGAACTGCAGATGCTGGAGTCAGAGATAACAGTGTGGAGCTGGAGGAACACAGCAGGCCAGGCAGCATCAGAGGAGCAGGAAAGTTGGTGTTTCAGGTCAGGACCCTTCTTCAGAAATGGGGATGGAGGAAGGGAGCTGGGAAATAAATAGAGGAGTGGTGGGGCTGGGGAAGGTAGGTGGGATGGTGATAGGTCAATGCAGGTGAGAAGTGGTGGGGATTGGTTAGTGGGATGGGTGGGGCGGTTAGGTGGGAGAGATGAGAGACAGGTTGTGTCAGGTCAAGGAGGTGGGAGGGAGGATGGGTGGGGCTGGGGAAAGGTAGGTGGGGTGGTGATTCTTTGGATGCAGTTAGGGGTAGTGGAGGCTGGTCGGCAGGAAGGGTAGGGCGGGTAGGTGGGGAAGAAGGTGGCCAGGTTGTGTCAGGTCAAGGAGACAGGGATGAAGGGTCCAGGCCCGAAACGTCAGCCTTTCTGCTCCTATGATGCTGCTTGACCTGCTGTGTTCATCCAGCTCTGCACCTTGTTGTCTCGGACTCTCCAGCATCTGCAGTTCCTACTATCTCGAATTCTATATTAAGGCCATCGGGCTGTAGGCTCCTGAGGTGGAACATGAGATTTTGTTCCTCCAGTATGCACATGGCGTCATTTTGGCACTGGAGGAGGCCCAGGATGGACCTGTCACCCAGGGAGTGGGAGTGGGAGTGGAAGTGGAAGGGGGAGTTAAAATGGTTGGCAACCGTAAGGTGTTGTCGTTTGTTGCGTACAGAATGCTGATGCTCCACAAATTGTTTCTGTCTTTCTCTGTATTCACTCAGTCGTTGCCTTGTGCAATCCAATTGCTCAATCATAGGCGACAAGAATGAAAATCCCTTTTCTCACAAATAGTTTCACAAGAAGTCCTGGGTATTTTTATTTGACATGAAATCATCACAAAAGAGAAATATTTGAAGAGTAATGGTGACTGCGTCATCATACAGGATTGGGTACAATTTCTGGCTGCAACCTGAAACTTGTGGTTCAGCATTGCTGAAATGTAGAAGCTTTTCCAAATGTAGAAGCTTTTCCAAAGGTACAATAAGGTAAATAATCTACTCTCGAAGTGGCTGCAGTTAATGAAATCAGCACCAATTCCACAGCTAAAGCATTGTTGGAGTAATTTTTTCAATGTAGAAATGCATCAGAAAACATTTTTATATTGGAGCCATGGGCAATGAGGAAGGAGGAGATAAACAGGCAAGTGTTGCATCTTCTGTGAATGATTCCACAGGGTCTGTTCCCTCTTGGAAATCCTGGTCCACTTCTCCACTTGCAACACTTCCCCATACCCCCAGGGCTTCTTCCCATTCAATTGCAAAAGCCCTTAACATCCTCCTCACTATCCTAGGCCCCAGACATACCTTGCAGGTGAAGCAGCGATTTAACTGCATTTGATTCGATCTAGTCTACTATATTGTCTGCTCACAATGGGGAGATGAAATGCAGACTGCGTGATCACAGTGTAGAACACCTCTGCTCTATCCATAAAAATGACCCTGAACTTCCAGTTGGTTACCACTTCAACACATCACCATGTTCCCATGCCAACATTTCTGGCCTACTACAGTGCTCCAGCAAAGCTCGACACAAACTGGAGGGACAACACCGCATCTTCCACCTAGGTACCTTCCAGCCCCCAGGACTCAACATTGAGTTTAACAATTTCAGAGAGTGAACACCTTCCTTTACGTTCAATACCCTTCCCCACACCCTAGGTCCTGTTCTGTACAGGTCGTTCCCACACAGCCATTTTCAACTATTCACACTTTCCATTAGCACCCATTCAGCATTTACTTCTCTTCCAGCTTACTATCAGCCATCTCTTTGCCTGCTACCCTTCTTATTATCTCTTTGGGCACCGTCTCCATCAATTTGACTCCCCTCTTTTCCCCACAATCCTACCTACTGTCCTCAGCATAAATACCACCATTTCCCAGCTGCATCATTCAATCCAAGCAAAGTGTCTGTGGACCCAAAGCATTGACTGATTTTCTCTGACTTTTGGCTATGAGTCAAATGCTGGAAAATGGGATTAGAGGAGTTAGGCAGCTGCTTTTGACTGGCGCAGCCACAATGGGCCAAAGGGCTTTTACTGAGCTGTTGACCTCTACAACTCTCCACAGATGCCGCAAGACCTGCTGAGTTTCTCCAGTATTTTCTGTTTTTGTTTATTTTTTTCAGTCTTGTTTTTGTGGCTAAACACAACCACATTATTACTTGTGAATCCTTCTGATGTTTTGTTGCACCAGCAGTGGCCTTTTTAATGCCATCTACCGACTCCTGGAAGGAAATCAAAATTTCAGATTTGTTCTGGTCAATGAATGCAATATTTCAATGTATTCAACATGTAAACTTCACTGCTTCAATTGCTGTTGACAGAATCCTTGACCACATTGTTGACCCCTTTTCCAGTAGGGTCTTGAATTTCATGACAGAAAGAGGACACAGTCAAATTAGAATCTAGTGCAACTTCCTCTTTATTTGTAATTCTTTAGTTCTCAGTAAGCACACAATCAACAAATTATCTAACTGTTTGACTAGAATGTAGATACTAGCTGTGCGTCATGAGTGGCCATGTTCACTCCAACAAGAAATAGTCTGAATTATAATATCAAATGCCATAAACTACCAGGAGTGGTCACCTGAGAAAATAGCACAGCCTGGACAGGTCAGTGGAATAATACTTCCAGGTCCCATGCCCCACACTCTGACTTGCCCTGCATTTGCCAGGAAAGAAGATCTTAGAACACCTCCAATTTGACATACTCGCAGCCACCAGTTGAGAAATGCAGTACTCTGATCCCAGACTCTTGTGTCTCACACTGATGAACTGCAGCACAACAATGGGTCAAACAGATGTGATTCATTTAAACACTTTAATCACTGAATAAAAGTCTTATATGGCTTTTCAAGATGATAATAATGATAAAAGTATTCTTTGAATTTTAAAACATTATCCTTTTAAAAAATAA